AACCCAAACAACGCTGGACAATCGCGCTCCGAGTTGCACAGGGTGCGCTATGTTCTCCCCAATACCAGCCCACGGGATGTGACATTGGCGCGTTACATCATCCGCACAGCAGACCTGGCTGCAATTGTCTATTGGGCCACTGACTGACTTACTTCGTCCCGTCACGGTCGTTGCCACTTGATCAATGGAGCTGGAAATCCGTAGCGGCTTACCTTTTTCGGATGTGCCAAGCTGGAGCAGGATCAGCAAACACCATCCGGCCAGCAACGGCTCGACTCAGCATGGCTGCGAACCTATAGGGCTTAACGAGCTAGCTGAAATTAGAAATAACCAACCCATCATTCAGAGGCCGTCGCACGCGCCCACTCGTCCGCACGTACAAGCCGCCAGCACACAGGAGGAGTACGCCACGCTTTCAGAATCCCCAAAGGCTGGTCACCCCGAATCAGATCATGCACTCCCGACCAAGGTCGCAAGGAGCCATGAATCGGATCAGGCACAGTGCGGACCGGTTCCAACACCGTTTGCATCGCAGCACTCCTTCTAGGATTTTGGTTTGTCACCCAGCATCTCTAGTCACTCCTCCCAGGGTTAAGGCACAAGTCACTCCTGTTTGGGTTGCCACCCATCTGCTGCTGTTAGTGAATGTTAGTAGGTGGGTTTGGGGTTCTTGGGCAACCAGTCGATTGGATGTTGGGAAAGCCAGTCACTCCTTTCTTGGGTTTTGGGGTCGCCGCCCATCATCTGAATTCCCTTTTTTGGTCTTGGGTTGTTGGGAAGCGGCGATTGATGACGAAGCGATGTCCTGACGCGTGAGCAAGTTCCCCGCTCTGTAGGATCTGATCGGAGCCGATTGGCTTTTGTCACAAGCTCTAGTTGGAACCTTGCCCGGCCTTCTTGTCATTGGCCTTAAGAGAGTCATCGCAATGGCTGGTCATTGCCTTGGCCGCTGCATCTGGTCGTTCTCGATTTTTTGGATCACCGCCCTATAATGTTCTCTGCCCATCTGCATGCGAGGCACGTGCTTCTGGCCCTCCCACACCGCTTTGTAGAGCAAGCTGCCTTTCCGGCCAGCGAGGAAGTTGGAGCCTTGGATGCTTTTCCGGCGCTCAGAAAGCCCAATCTGCACTCCCATGTTCTTCGAGGTGCTGAAACTGCCGCGACGACATGACTGGCCCGAGGTCGTGTAGGAAATCAGGTCGTGGTCATTGATGCGATCCAGAATAGGGGCCAAGTCTTTGGCTACAAGAAAATCCTGAGACTCAAGTGCGATCTTCGGCTGTCCGGCAAAGTTGGAGGGATGCACTGCACTAGCCGTCAGCGAACCAAAACCTCCGGGCTTTTGAATGACAAACTGAGCCGTGGTCAGTATCCAAATACATCCCTCCATGATGATACAGCAACGCGTACCTCGCACAGCATGTAAGAATCGCCGGGAACACATGGTGCGCACCCTGCTGCGGATTTCTCATGCATACCATTCGCCGCACCGGACAATGTCAGACTTGGCGGCGTCGTATGGCATGCGCTCAAATTCTGCCGGCAAATCCGGAATAAAAGCCTGCAGAAGCAATGCCAGTTGACATCGACAGCCGCCCCTTGTTGCGTATGAGGTTCAGCCCATGAAGATAGGGCACTCGGATATTCGTATCGTTGATCATCCACGGGAAGTGGCAACGTCCATGCGAGTAGTGCAGCCACGATTCCAAGTTCTTCGAAATGAACCTGAGCTTGGGGTGATATCAACATGAAGACTTGCGAGCTGATGCCCTGCAGCATGAACATGTATGAAGTGCAGCTGTGTTGCAGCGGCGGCCCGCTGGGATAGTTCCACATTACAAAGATGTTGCAGAGACCTTGCGCAGCCGGCACCTTGGACGATGCCTCAAGGGTCTGAGCTCGATTTGCACCAAGCGCCTCCCGGCTAGCCGGCAAGGTGGCTTGGCCCGGAGGATCTACGTCCGTGGCCCGTGGCAGGGAAGGCTTCGATGCCATAGCCGCCCTGCAAGACTCAGCACTCAGCGCACACCCTGATGCCTCGCTTGAGCTTGGCGCTACCCGCGCCTCAACTCAGAAATCTCGCGGCGAAGGTCCGCCACCTCATCCTTGACAACACTGGGGAAATCACTACTAGAAGCGAAGGAACTGCGGACGCTGAACTACAACCACTTCCTAATTTCAAAGGTCTCCTGGTGGCTCTTCTCCAGGCGTTGAAGCCGCGCCTTCAATTCCGCCTGCACGGCCACGGCCTCATGCTCTGCACCTGTCATAGGCCCTGCAAGCCGAGCATGACTCTCAATCTTTGTGCCTTCCTCCTGCCTGAGCGGTCGAGCCAGCTGAAGTTTTCCCAGAGTGCCAGCAGCGCCAAGCCTCCTCCGGCAAGGCAACATGCTCATGGCTTTGGAAATCCGCGTCAAACCCTACCACCTTGCACTCTGCCCTGCATGATGCCACTCACGACCTTGGTAGAACAGCACTACTGGCAAGACTTCCGCCACCGCAAGCACCTTGTTTTCCCACAAGATCATGCTCCCAACCATCCACATCCCCAATTCGGTTCCGGCCCAGCAACAAAAACCTCACGCATTTGCTTCGATTCTTTCGCCCTGCCCCCTCTCCTCGGAGGCCATGCCTGCGGAAATCGCTCAACATTTATCCACAATGAGACAAACGAAACTTGACAGGTTATTCCGACCCCGAAGGTTGTTGTGCAGTGTCTCGCGTCTGTTTTGGCGGCTAGAACTGAGAGAGTCATATAGAGTCATGGAGTCAAGACATCATCTGCTCAAGGCAGTCCACCGCCCTCCTTCGAGATGTGTATCTGCTTCAGCCTGGTTCTGCCTGCGTTGTTTCTCCCCATCACCCTTTCTGTGTTATTCGTTCAAACTGGCCTTTCACCTCTGACTGTTTTGCTGGCATTCACAGCCACAGCAGCCCGAAAATGGCTCCGGGAGTGTCCTGCAAAGGTCGCAAGGCTTGGAACCAGGAATCGTCGCCATCGCCAGCGCATGCGGCATTCGGACAAATCAGTGGCTCGAAAGCACAGCCTGCAACCCAAACTGGATGTGGAAAGCTCGACCTCTGGCTATGACCTGCCGTGACGGGAAAATGATGTTTGTTACACTGCAACGATCGGAGTTTTCGGGCTGCACAAGCAAGCATGTAAGGCATTGTAAGGCATGAAAGCCAGGACTTCAGACATATGCTTGCAGTCACTCGGCATGAACGCAGGCATGTGTGTGTTGCTGATGAGGCGAGTATGTTCGCGTTTGTAAGCTGCAGGTGGCTGCGGTTCAGAAGTGTGCACTGCTTGCATGTTCTGCTTTACCCTGACACATCCTCTGGCAGAGTGGCCTCCAACTCCGGTACACTTGGCACCTGGAGAAATCGACCCCGCGCCATGCCGCGCCGTGCTCGACTCGCTCCCAGCTGCCCAAACTCCGTTGAACCCTTGGGCCTGGCCCGGCACGGAGATATCAACAACTCGATGCCTGAGCAAAAAGGGAAGCAACAGCAAAGGCCGTGGCAGCGCCCCGCCCCCCCGCAGCTGCTGACGGGTTGCACATCGGACATCACGGGATAATGGGGAGCCCTGCAGCATGAGTTGGAAAGTGTCGTCTCCGGCTTGCAAAGCGCAGAAAGCGGAGCAGCCTCGACTGCTTGTAAGAAGCCTGACCTGCACGGAACGCGGCAGCGCAGGACCGAGAAAACCAGTGAGCCAAGCTGAGAACCGAGCTCGTCCATGCAGCTGAAAAGCCATGTTGGCACCAGGTGCACGGGACGCTTCAAGTTCCACTCTGCAGAGGACGAAGTGTAAACAACTGGGCTTGGCTGGAAAGACGGGCACTAGATGCTTGCGGAATGTCTTTTGTGCCCTGCAGTTCTTCGATACCTCGAGCCAAAGGCGACCCATGGTTTTGGAGTTGCAACGTCGTCTGTCAGACAGACACTTTTTACGAGTAGGAATTGTGTGCAGGCAAAGAAACAAAGACTAAGCCCGTCCTCAATGTCGTAAGCCAGTCTAAACAGCTTGTTACTTGGGCCCGGGCTCGTGAGTGCATACTTTGCTTGCCAGCGAGAAGGCCGTCTGCGGGATCAAAACAGAAAAGCCTGGCACACGTACATTAGCAACGGCCTGCCTCCGAGTCATCTCTGTCATCGCCATCGTGCCCTGGGAGGGCGGACCAGTCCTCGGAGTACCTAGCAATCGAAACAGAATCGTCGAAGCAAATAATCCCATTGAGCATCCCCAACAGCGGAATGGGGATGTCGTTGGGTTCAACATTGTATGGCACCAGAAAAGCTGACAGAGCTGTAGATGGGTTGTCCATGCTCGGCCGGCACTGGACAGACACAAGATTTGCTGAAACCAGGTTCGAAAGTGTTTAACAGGTCTCGGTAAAGAGCTAAACTTGAGCAGTTTATGTGTTGTCGCTGAATTAGGACAAATTAAGGCATGCAACTCGCACCAGAATTGGCCCGGAACCCGCCCTGCAACCGCCGGAACCTGAGCCCCAATCTGCCCCAAACCTCATTTCGGCTGAAGACCCCACAGCTCTCGCCGCTGGGGAAACAGCTCCATGAATCTCGAAAAGCTTTACTAGACACTGGCCGTGGCACATCTCATAAATGCTGTAGGCCGAAGCCGTGGACAGGCGATACCTTGTGGGTGCTTGTCAGCTTCCCACGGTCATTCTTTCATGAGAAGGAAGAGAAAACGTCATCTTCTGGGCCCCTTGCTGCCGAGGCATTGCAGCGAGGACGGAGGGTCCCAGCCGCGGCGCGAGTGGGCACTCGGAATCACGAGCCAGGATCCTAACACGGCCACCGTACCATGCATCGTTGTCATCTAGAGATGCCCTACATTTTCAGGTATCCATCAAAATCACACTAGATCTCAGAGCGATGCACGAATCTTTCAGCCCACAATCTGATTCTGTACCAGAAGCAGTGGCAAGAGGCGCCGGCTGCCCCGCCACGAGCTCTGTACAACGCGAAAGTCAAAGCTCTGTGAGCTCTTCCTCGCCGCTTTGCTGCTTCTCGGCTCCGTTGTCTTCAGTTTCATCTTTCGACACTTCATCCTGCCATTTTCCCGGGGCATGACTGGCCTGAACCAGAAAACCTGGCAGCTAGATGCTGGCCGCGCGGCATGCTGGGGCTTGATTGTGTGGGTCTCTTCGGTCTCTTCCACCTCCTCTTCTGGCAGCGTCCACTGTGTCTTCCCTTTCTTTGCCTCGGCGCTTGCATATGCTTTGACTCAGCCTACGAATGTCGACTGGCTGTCTATGCACTGAAGCAGGTTCTGCTCAGCGCCAGGATTCGTTGACGTAGTAAACCTTGCCAGTGGTCTTGGAAATCTTGCTGATCCAGCCCTTCGGGAGCTTTGCAGTCACCTTGAGGCTTTCCTCCAAACCAGTGGACCTGAGGTTTCCCCAAAGCTCCGGACACAGGATGTACAACTGGCCGTTCTGAGGCTGCTGACTTCACCAGCTCAGCGTGCTCCGTGACTTCTTCTGATGTCATGCACCGCTCGTGCATCCACCAAGCCTGTGCCCCCATGGCCACCCAGATCTCCTTGTTCACACGGACCTGCCCAAACTGACGCTTTACAAAAGATGCGAGGGCTCAGCACAAGCCCCGCCTTTCCAAACATGCGGGAGGACGCGCGGGCCATGCAAGGAAAGCAAACGCTCTTGCTGCAACCTAAGGCTTTGCTCGCAGAAACATGCGCCGAACTGCAAAACAAATCGACCCGGGCCACCTTTTCCCTCCTTTGTGGTGCTGAGACTCAGGTGGCATGTTTGCGACCGGCCCTGCTGTTTGTCCGGCCTCCTCTGATTTTCCTGTTTGAGACACCTTTCATTGGCATCAATCCAGGCCGCGCACAAGGAGTGCGTGGACTCTGACACCACTTTCCGGCAATTATGGCGCCCCTTTCCCTGCTGCGTTGTGCAGTGCGTTCTCTAGTTCCGGAGGTACCTAGTCCAAGATCCCTGCGAGGTGTGAGTGGTCCTGAGAACCTACAGCTCTGAGAGCCCCAATCTGCATCGATCCAGCCGACAGTGATGAGGTCCAAACCAGCAGCTGTCCCGTCCGCCCGAATCCGGAAGCACAGGACACCGCTTTCCTCGCAAGATCTCCCACAACTAAGCATGCTGCACGACAGGGCGAGGCACTTTGCCACTGCATGATGAGGTAGCCAAGATGCGGAGTCCACTACCTCGACTCAAAATGCCATACTGTCATCCGATAGGTTGGGTAAGGGCCGATTTCCGGCCTGTTGAAGGCAAAGGCCGCAAGTCGCACCACGGACCATCTGCTTGCCGACCTTCGTGCCCGGCTCTGGCTTGGGCACCTGCCATCGGCCCATGCTCTTGCGTGCGGCTCGAGCACAGAAGACAGAAGCAAAAAAGTTGCCTGGCCTTTGTGGCCTTTTTCGACGAAAGGTCTTGCAGCAACGGGACGGACTCCTGCAAGACGATGAGGCTTCGGGAAGGCTTCGAGGGGGCCCCAACAGCTTATCAACGTAGCCGTGTCCTGCCAACTTTTCCTGACGTCTCGCGGCTTCACAACACGCTAGGCCGCTAGGAGACATGTCAGTTTACCATCGCACAACTCTGTCCCATGTCGACTCGATCGCTCACTCGATCCCTCCGGCTCACTGACTTACTATCCACTCAAAAACTCACGTCTGCCCTTCTTCGCGCTGCCACGAGTCGCATAAGTCTTCCCCATGTCGAGGAAGCGCGCTTGCATCTGCGATGCTACTTCTTGTGCCACGGCAGGAACAATGGGCGCGGGAACCGTCGGTGCAAGAGCCATAAAGCCCAGGGTGCCCAGGGGGCCCAGGGGGCTCAGGGGTCCCAGTGGGCCCAGCTGCTCTGCAGGGGCACCCGAAGCGTCGGCTGGAACGGGAGCCTTCTGAGCTCTCGCCACCTCCGTGGTGAAATGGTCAGCGCTGTCACCATCTCCCCGGCGTCTTTGGAGCTTCTCGAGACTCTCGTGCTTCATGGGCTTCATCGCGAAGAAACGGTGGCTGGGTCTGTGGATCTCTTGGCGTCGCTTGTAACACTTTCTGCAGAGGCTCACATCCTCGCAGATCGCACACTTGAAGCGAGGACCGACGATCGGCTCCATCGCGCAGTGGTCGCAGACTGCTTCGTGGACCTCTGGGTTGGACTCCTCGGAGCTGGACTCCTCGGGTTGCTCGGGTTCTGGTGACTTTTCGTCTTCGAAGCCCAGGTCGCCGCCCAACCACTGCATCTCCTTGGAGAAGCGGGGGACTTGTAAAGTGCTTTCCCCAAGAGAGGCGAAGTGTTCTGCTCGGGGCTCCTCTTCTTGCGGCTGGCTGACGCTCTGCCCGCTGGGGGGCTCCTTTGCAAAGGAGCGAAAGCCGCCGACAGAGAACTCCCAGACCCGAAGCGAAACACAGCGGATTATACGGCGTTTTTCTTTGTCCTCCGCTGCGGCTGGAAGATGCTCCGCACTTTCGTTCAAAGGCCTATTGGAGCCTGGCACGAACTTGACAAACATTTCTCGTAGCTTCGCTGCGAACGCCGCGCGGGCTGTCGGAGCCTTTCTTTTGCTTCTTGGCAGATGAAGAAGACGAGGAGGATGAAGACTTCTTCTTCTTTTTCTTCTCCTTGTCCAAGTCATGACGATAGCAGCAAACCCGACATTATGCAATTATTTTGCATCTAGGCCTGCACCTCTCCTTTGATTTGGCGTTTCCGCTTCTCCACTTCCTCCTCGAGTTTCTTTATCTGCTTCGCAAGTTTTTTGGCTTTCTTCGCTTCCTTTTTGGCCTTTTTGGCCTCTCGGAATGTCTGTTGCATGCCGGTGGTGGCAAAGATTCAAGACGCCGCAGCGAGGCACCTCTTTCTTTGACGCCTTTTTGGCCTTCTTGTCGCCATTCTTTTTAGCAGCCTGAATCGCGCATGTCTGAGTGTGTGAGAGGAGTTGCAACGCACTGCCTTTGTGGCACCGCTGTGATGACAGGCCTTGGATGTGGATTCACTCGAGGAGCTGCCCATGGAGACACATGGCGTCGTGCATCCAGTCAGTCATACCTCGTGAAGATAAGATGATGTCTCAACGGGTGGCTAGTGTAGTGAGGTTTTTGGCTGAAGCCGCAAGGCTCAAAGCGCCATGAACTGTCAGTTCAAGTTCAGCTTCCTTTGACATGAGCTTCTTCCGCTTCTTCCGCTCCGTGATGACAGGTCGTCTCAGTGCTCGAATCTTTGGCTGCGTGCGGTGCGTCTGTAATGGCTGCGCACGACCGAACACAGGCAAAGGGCTGAGGGGTTGAAGTCTTGGGCACGGCCCGAGGACTTCTGAGGAGGCTTTTCTCTCTCTCTCTCTCTCCCTCTCTCTCTCTCTCTACTGTAACGAGGTGGCATGGTCCTTGCAAGCCTCCGGCAGCTTTCTCAAGCCTGCCTTAAACAGTTGCAGGGTGAGAACTATCTGATTGACCGCGACGTGAGGCCTGCTGCTCAGCAGTACAAATCGATATTGCTGCCTAAGGTGCTTTAACTACTTATGTGGATATTGCCTCGCTTTTCTATCGCGTGTACCGTGTACCTGCTACCTGCTGCACTTCCTACTACATGTTTGTCATTACACACAGACTCCATCTGCCATCATGCATGACATACGGTCAACTACTGCACAACTTCATTATACGCTGTGATGCAATTAGCCTAGCGAACAAATAGTACTGCATGTCACTGTGGACAAAACATAGCATATTTTATTTGGACAGGTCGACAAAGAAAGAGACATCCAACATAAATGCAGCATAGACTTTGGGCTGCACGCATTGCGACCTCGAAAACACTGCACAAAACCCGACGTATTGTCAGCTAGCAGCTAGCAAGTGAACCTACGGACAGCTAGAGCAAATAGATAGAGAATAGACAAATAGACACTCAGATAGGTAGCGCAGGACGGAAAGAAGGCATGTGCTGCTAGATGTTGCTGAATTCTTCGTAGAAACCAGAGGCGCAAAAGAGAAATTGTTGAGAGTGGAGAAGATACGAAGTCAGCACAAACTGCTCGAGCACGTCTACAGGCTGGTGCTTGAATTCTTCTTCTGGATGGATAATCGGCTCAACATGAAAAGACACCCACAAAGATTCTTCCAATCCAAGCTTGAGAACTGGTTCAACTGGAGAGACGCGCCGATTTTTGGTCGCCCATAAATGATCCGCAGCCCTTCTGCTGCGAAGCCAAGCTTTTGGTTCCTCACGGCTTTCGCACAGAGGAGCTACAAGTTTGGAATTGCGGTTAAGACAAGACCCTGTAAAAATTTCGGGGGCAACTGAACCGCGGCAATTGGCTGCTTGTCTATAGTCTAGACGGTGCCCAACACAAGAGTTGGGTCCTGGCCCTTGTTGGTTTAAGGCCTCTCGACGTCGCAACGCTGCGTTGGGCCGTGAGTGGATTGCAAAGCCTGCCAGAAGTTCCACAAGGTAGCATGCAGGGGGTCAGCCTTCTGAAAACTGCAAATTGTGCTCGTGCGGCGATTAAACGACTCCCGCAATCGATGCCAAGTTCCTCGAGCTTCCCAACACAAGCGAATGCGCGAGCAGGGCTTTGGCCTTCCGGACCCATGATTCTCGCAGCGCTGATGCCGGCTGCCTGCGTGCAATTCACAAGCCTTGCCCGACAAACACAGGAAAATCGGAAATCACTGGAGACGCGACGGCGAGCGGTCTCGGGAACACAGCTTGTGGCCAGGATAAGAGCATCCAGTGCGACGGTGGCCGGCGTACACTACTCCATGTTAAGCCCCCCTTCCGGCGCCACATCCTTCTGAACATAAACAAGAGCTTGGAATCCTGAACACAGGCCCAAAAAGATGAGATCCCTGTCCGCGCTTTTGTGTATTGTACTATACATACGATAGTAACTACGCTGGATCGCAAACCCTGAAAGTTGGGTGGCAAACCCCAAAGGGAGATGTTGGTTGCAAAACCCCAAACCCCAAAGTGTTCGAAAAGCCCGCAACCCGAAAAGGAAAAGTTGGTCGGGAGGGGCCCGAAAAGAAGATCACGGTTAGCCTAAAACGTAGCCTTATTGTCTTTTGGTTCTGATTGTGTTGGGCAGCAACACCTGTATGTTGGGTAGCAAGTCCCCAACCCTCCAAAACGGATGTTGATGCGGTCCCGAAACCACAAACAGAGATGTCGGTTGACAAACCCTGAGACCCTACGATGTGAGTTGCCAAGCTTGGAAAACCCCAAACATCAAACTCAGATATTGATTGGCAAACACCAAACCCGAAAAGACAAAATTAGCTGTCCCCCAAAAAGACTCTTTGGTTGGCAAAACCTTAAGGAGATGTTGGGAAGCAATCGCGACGTCTCAAGTGGAGATTTTCGTGGGCCAAGCCAAAAGCCCAACAGAAAGGGGCTTTGCAGGGCTTTGCAGGGTTGTGGGGCTGCAAGCCGGTCCAAGCGAAAGAAATAGCAGCAGCAGGAGCATGCTTTGGCGCTGCTTCCCGGTCCTTTCTCGGCGTTGCCGACACTGTTTTCCAAATCTGTGGCCCGTATTTCTGAATCGGCCCGCCTGGTTCTCCGAATTTTTGCTTCGGGGCTCCTCCGAATTTGTCTGAATCGGGGCACAGTTCTTTTGCAAACTCTTCCCTTTTGACTTCCATTGAAGTTTATCCGTGCCGCGGCATCGGAAATGCGGTGTGTCCGTCGCTCTTTGATTTGCTTTCCTTTCGCCCTCACTCCCCTTCTATGCACTCCCCAGCATCACATCAACGGTCAACTGTTTGAGATGAATAGAAAAGCAGATGTGCAAGGCATTCTGCAGCCCAGCCGGACAGGAAGCTGCAGCGAGCACATGACCTCGTCTGGTGAGGCTGTGGTTCGCTGCTCTGCCTGCAAGCGCAAGCGGCGCAAGCGCATGTTCCGAAGAACTTCTTGCAACGTCGGACGCGAAAACTCAAAGCCCCTCCGGCCAAAGCCCAGCGGCCCGAGCTTCCCCGCTAGCGTCCTCGTGGCATCTGGCGTCCTCCTCCTCGGCAGCTTCCACTCGGCTCTGGGAAGCGTCCGCCTCGCACAGCTCGCACTGCTCGCACAGCACGGCACAGAGCACCCCGAACATCCCCGGACTGCGTGGGTTCTTAAGGCCGTAGAGCCTTAGCTCTGCAACAGAGCGGGTGCCGCCGCCCTTCAACTTGCACAACAATCAGTGCGGAAGGTTTGCCCACTCCATTCTGCCTCAATTAGCCACCGATTTGCTGTCCAGCTCCTCTTCTTTTGCGGTTAGGACTTGCGAGGTCTGGGACCCGCTTGACAGGTTGGCTTTGCCAAGCTGCTCCACCCCCAATGCGTTTGTAGCAGGATCTGGAGATTGCCAAACGATCCCGACATTGGAGGACAAGGGTCCGAGCAACGATGAAAACATGCAACATTGGCAAAAGATGCCAATTCCTCCGCATGCTTGTCTGCTACAACAAACACCAAAATCACAAAGCAGAGACACCAAGCCAAAAAGACGAGAAAGCAACAGCAACATGCTACGGTGGCAACGGGGCAAATTGTGCGCCGGTGTCCTTTCCAGGATCCTTTCCCATGCTTCCCTGAGTGCCCCTTGCTTTCATACAGCGAGTGGCTGCCATGCTTCTGCTTGCCAGCTTTGCCTTTCGTGAACATAATCGCAGCTGCGAGCCAACACTGCAGATGGCCAGCTTGAAACTGATCCGAACCCGGCCGCAGGGAGGGAATCGGAACAAGACTGTGGACAAACCCTGGCCTTCCGCGTCACCGCAGCCGACTGCTGCGTGACAGGGGGAAGCCTCACAAGCGTTCCCTCTATGCTCTTCACTGCTGCGTGGTGCAGCATTGAGTCACGACACAGCTGTGCCTGACCTCAAGATCCATGTATGCACATTTGACATCATTTTGCACATGTTACTGCCTCCAAGGCCAGCCAGTATGCCTTCGTTAACTGTATTCTTCGTTGGTACTCAACAACCCGACGAATCCCCGACTGGTCCAAATCCACGCACACAGCAGGCGCTTTTTCCTTCTTTGGGTGCCATAATCAGCGCTGTGCTCGCTGTCCTCCGCATTGTGACACACTCGGAGGGTGCAGGAGCGATTTTGCCACGGATCCTCGTGGAGCTTGGTGGCTCTGCATGCCGCCGCTTAGGTTATGAACGACAGGGCTTTGAATGTAAGCCAGAGGGCACACGTTGGCTGCAGAAGCTGATTTGGGATGTGAATTGCAGGGGTTGGGGTAAGATGCAGGTGCGGACCGCGGATCAGAGTGGACGTCTCCCTCCCTGCCGCTCTCTCACCTCTCAGCGTCGCCGCCCGGAGCGGGAGCGCCGCGAGTCTCGGCCACGCGACCGCGGGGACCGGGAGCGAGAGCGTTTTTCGGAACGCCGCCCACGACCTCGCAAAAACGCTCGACTCAGATACCGACATACATTACGTCATTACGTGGCTTCGGGGATGGAACGAGAGGCAAGGTAGTATCTCTATCTAACCTACTCGACGGCTCCGGCTGGGCCAATCCGAACATCCTTCACGGTCGTCTCGAAACGGACCAGCAATCCGAAAGGCAAAATAAAGCTCGGCACACAACTCGACAGCAACTCTCTGAAGCAGGCAGTGTGGCGGACGACAATCCTGTAAAAGCATCCGGGCGGCTTCTTTCCTGCTCGCGACCTTCGCGAGCCTCTCGGGACCTCAGCCACTAAGCATCGCGTGAAGCCAGCCATACAATCATTGAAAACACATCAGCTGAGCGCTTCGCGATGATTGTGGGTGCAAGAACGTGCCGGTGGGTCCTTGGAAAGGCCACTAATTTGCATCGTCCGAAAAGATTCACTAGTGGATTGCAGCCTCAGGTCTTACGTTGCTCGCTTGCAACTGGGCCACGGAAGGTCCCGGAGCCTCCGAGCCGCCTGGGTGGTGACGGCAGGCGGCCCGTCCTCAGATCATCTCCAGATCGACGGCACCGCTGAAGGAGCTGAGGGCCCGTCTCGTCCAAGCCTTCGAGCAATCTAACCTCAGAGAAACATCTTCAATGCCAGTCCAGGACACCGAGCCTGAGGCTGAGCTGCCTGCCAAAAGGCCGAGGCCTGTGGGCTGCTGGGCGTTCCCTAGCCGGTCATTCAAAGCCTGCAACAACGAGACTCTGGGCGAAGTGAGACGCAGTGCAACGATGCAATGCAACGCAGCAACATCCAGCAGCGTACCTGTAGGGTGTCCTTTCTTTTATTTTTTCGGTTGTTCAGCGTGTCAATGAGCCGATTCATGACACGGTCGTCGAGGTTGTATTTACAAATAAATTCCCAGACCTCTGGATCCAGAAGCTCCTGGCCAACAAACAAAGGGGTGAGTACCGAGATAGCCCAAGCTCAATCTGCACATGCCCGGCGTCCTTCCCTGGAAATCGGTTCGCCCGTATTGCCCGGATCTGGGCGAGCATCACTTCTAGCGGCTTCTTGCCGTCCTGCACAGGGAAGTCACCATGGAAACTTCTCGTCTACCCAGAAGAGGCACTTCCGACTCAAGCCCGCACATGCTTTCGATGCGATAATAGTCAGGATGCGCGAGACGTTTGAGTCCTTAGTGGCTCTTTCCATCAGTTTGTGAAGGGCTTGAAGGTCTTCGTCATAGTCTTCTCGTTCTCTCATCGCATCGTTTAGCCTGCAAGGGAAAAAATAGCATGTCATCTTGGAATTCAATTTCGCACACGCACAGTGTAGCCTCATGACAGTGTCACCACTGATGCCAAAGTCGTTGCAGATCGCTTTGACTCGAGCATCTACCTCACTGCAAGAGCTCCGTCGGACTCGACATGCCAATGCAGGTGGTCATACGCCATGCCAGTTCTGCTGCCAAGAGGCATGCTTGTCTTCGGCCTTTATGGTGGGAGTTGCATCGGCTGTTTCGCCACTGCCCATTGCGGCCTGCATTCCCATCATCATGCCCATCATGGCCTTGAAGCACCAGGGAGGTGCGACCCGTAAGTCTCAAGACCACGCGACAATATAAGGCTCCGACCATCATGGGATTCATGCCCCCCATACCCATCATGCCATTGCCCATTGTGCCGCCCATGTTGCCCATCATGTTTGGCATCATGGTCCCCATCCCTCCCATGCCTCCGCCCATGGCACCTGGCATGTTTCCAGGCATGTTGCCTGGCATGCTCCCGGGCATTCCTCCTTTGCCCATCATTCCCCCGCCCATGGGCATTCCTGCCATCCCTCCACCACACATGGGGCCCATGCCACACATCCCTCCCATTGGGTTCATGCCGCCCGTGCCGCACCCGCACCCCATCATCGCTGGATTGTCGGATCCTGGACGCACTTCAGAAGCACAGCTCGAACTGCATTATCGCAACATTTCGGGCCTATGGCCCCTCCAAGGGCACCCGCATCTTTGCCATCCATATGTCACCTCCCGCTTCGTGTTCTCAAGAGAAACAACATGGCGACACAAGTCATGGCTATGCAGTCAAGTCGCCGGGGGCGTCCTCGCAAGTGGAACGCCGCCCCAAACCCAACCCAGCTTGTGCCAGGGAGCTGCGCGCAATGCGGCAGTGCGAGCAACATATCATGTACAAGTGTTGGCATTTGCCAGTATCTGTCTGCTGCATCTCCAGAAGATCAGCGACTAGCACAAAACTATCCCAAACCACGGCCCCTGCGTGCCACTTTCCTTCCGGGACGGCGCTGCGTTGATGTTCTTGTCTCCTTCAAGCGCACGCAGGGTGCAACATGTCTATGAATCAGGTCATACCCAGAAATTGCCGACACCTGCCCCATCCTTCCCCAGGCAGCCTTCACTGGTGCCAGTCACCACGGAACTTGGCTTGCTGCGCATAGGTTGCGAGATCTGTGCCTGAAGCGCGCTGCTGGTTTCAACAAGTTCTTCAAAGTCTCGGAAACCAACATGGTGGAAAGGGCTTGCGAGGCATTGGCTCGGACATTTTTGCATGACGAAGCCCTGAACTTGTGACATTATATCTCTCTCTCTCTCTCTGCCGTTGCATCCAGAGGGTCCAGCAGCGCTAGGCAACGCGTGAGGGCCGATTAGCCCCGCACAAATGAAACAGCATATAGCTGCCGATTTTCGCACGTGCGTGTTCGCCCAATAATCGTCGACGATGTCCGACAACTTGGTAGGCTAGTAGATTCGCCGTTGGACTCCGGGTCGTCGGTAACATCCCTCTAAACCATCACTGACAAAGGTGGATGAAGAATTGTCTTTCAGCCAATGAGCAGTTACTTAAGATCTCAATCATCAAAACTGCATGGCGCTGCTGCATCTCGCGCTCCAGAACCACAGCGTTGGTATATAAATGCGGAAGGCTGCATTCTTCACGCGTTGATCCACTTCCGCGTCAAGCTGCTGCACCACCTGTGGTTTGAAGCTGATGGCGGAAGCCGCGGATATTCCACGACCCTCATGCAACAGGATGGCGCCTCTGTACTAATGCAATGGTACTGTCAAAGCACGGACCGGTCTGCACCATTTCAGAACCAAGGCGGATGGAGCTGCACATGTGCCCGCAGGCTGCCGTCTGGCCGGTCCACTCTGCCTCCATGGCCCATGTCCAACAAGGTCGGAAATCTGCGAGAGAAGCAAGCTGGGTCAAGGCGGCGGCCTTTGGTGCCAAGGCCGACGACTCATACATCGATGCCCGAGTTCTTTCCACAAGGGAACACAAGATGACCCAAAAATGAGACAAGGCTGGGGATCAACAGACCGGGGGAGCACTATGTTATAGTTATAGGGGGTCATCGCACATGGCGACCATGAAAACAGAGACACAGACAGACAGAGAGACAGAGAGACACAGACGGAGACAGACAGACACAGACAGACACAGACAGACACAGACAGACACAGACAGACAGACAGACAGACAGACAGAAAGACAGACAGATAGACAGACAGACAGACAGACAGACAGACATGGTTGCACCCCTGCGCGGTGTCTCTGTCTCTGTCTCTGTGTCTGTGTCTGTGTCTATCTCTGTTTTTATCTCTATCTCTATCTCTATCTCCATCTCCATCTCTGGCTGCCTTTCTGTCTGTCTGTCTGTCTGTGTCTGTCTGTCTCTGTCTGTCTCTGTCTGTGTCTGTCTGTGGTCTCTGTCTGTCCCTGTCTGTCTCTGTCTGTCTCT